AAAAAAAAAAAAAAAAAAGGGGAAGGGGGGGGGGGGCGCTTCAAGGATTCCAGGCAAACCTGCCATTCTAACGGACCCGCTGAACCGATGGGGACAGCTTGTTCAGCAGTCAGATGCTTTTGGCTTTAGCATACTGCGCTACCCCAGCCAACTGCGTTTTACTTAATAAACCATTGTTAGGTAAACCACAATGTGTGAATACAGCTGCCACCGCCATCACCCAGCCTTGCTCCCCAGCTGTTGTTGGATTACATCGCCCATCATTATTGGGGCTTGCCTAGAAGATCAGAACCCAGTGATCCTTTCCTCCAGAGCATAAAGATTTATAATGCAGTAGTGAAACACACGCTTTCCACTTTATAAAGGCATACGTTATTTATATCTGAAGTTCAAAAAAAATAAAAGGCCTCTGATAATCCAGTTCTAATGATCTCTGCAGGAGGGCTTGGGAGCGCTGCTGCATAAAGGGACTCACTTATAAGAAGATCGTTTTTTGTGTTTCTTGTGTTCAGGAAACGCTTTCCAAGAACTATCCAGTTTTTAGATTTTTCAAATATTTTTGTGCCCCATCAAAATCATTTCTAACCCCATCATATGCAGAGTAACTGCCTACTCTTCACCCTGCAAAGAGATCCTCCCTTCCTCTTCCCCTAAACACACACATTAGGGTGTATTTATCCTAAAAGCAAAGAACATTTTTATTCAGTCATTACAATAAATATCAAAATGTACAGGCAGTTTAATCTAATACACAATTTTCTAGGGAAACAACCCCACAGATTAGAAACACAGCAGCATAGTGGAACGGCAGTTGTCCCAAAAGACAGCAATGTTCATTGATTGCCTCCTCCTGCGGAGAGCTCATTTGAAGCATAAAAGTCCTTTTACATCCTTGCATACAGGAAATTAGGGTTACTTCGTTCAATGGTAATACAAAAGGAAATAGAAAAATTAGTTGCTTAGAACCCAAACACTGAGCAGTTGAGAAAGTCTCATTTTAACAAAGCAGCGCTCTTGCGCGCACGTTCTTTCACATGTACACAAAATCAATATTAAATTGTATTTCTAGTACCTAATGGGCTGGACAGAATGTAATTATCAGGAGAAATCACCCACATCTTAATTACAGAATGCTGCTTTTTTGTAAAAAAATTTGAACAGCGTTTTTAAGTTCCATTTAGTTAATATATAAAAAAATCCTAAAGGTTTATTCTAAGCCATCTTTTTATATCAGTGTCATATAAAAAAGTCACATAATATACTTTGGCTTTGCTGGAATTTAGTATTTGCTAGTTTAAAAAAGCTTGAGCAAAGAGAGAGAGAGAGAGAGAGAAATCCTAATCTTTTATCCATGGAGGAAAAAAAAAATCAAATGCCATTGCTCCCATAAATCTTATGTGAATGCTTATTAACTTTATTTTTATATTCTAGTGCACACATAATTGTTTCTGCAAACTTTAGTGGGAAGAAAGCCCGCAAAATAGTAGCTTTCTTCTATTGCAAGATTGGACGTGACACAGACAATGGAATTCAACTGTACAGTTCAGAAAGTAAGAGTATGAAGAATGGTTACAGACCCATTTTAGTGCCTAAAGTATTCTACCATACCATTTCTGAACCATTTGTTTCTAACTTTCTGTACCTTGAGTTGACAAGCAACAACTTGCAACTTCTATATGCAAACAAGCTGAAACAAATCAACAAGAACATGACCGAAGCCAGAAATACAGACTTAGGTATCAACATGATTTTGAATATTTTCTGATACAAACAGAAATGGGATAGACTTAGCTGGAGACAATCTGCTGCCAGTTAATTGACCTGCAGGAGCCCCATCAGTCTTTTGCAGCTGCTGCTGGAAGGTAACTGAGGATGGGCAGAGTCTGATAAAAGGGGAGTACTTCTATGAAGAGAAATGCATTTTCTAGTACAACCCCTCCAGCCCAATCAAATTCCCTGTGGTATAAGCCTTCCGTGACCTCGTGTCCTCCAGATGTGCTGGACCTCTCATAACACCTGGAGAGTATCAGAATGAAGAAAACTGATCTAGTACTGCCTATTTCATTGTCAAAGTTTGGTTTGGGCTCATTAAGGCCCCAATATTTTCAGAATTAGACTTGATATAACCTCAGATTGTACTTAAAACTGAAGGCTGCTTCTCACGTTTAAGAAATCATCCCATTCCTTTTTTGCTTGGTCTTAGTGGGAAATGGGCTTCTTTGAAAGAACGGCAAGTATATTACAAAACAACATGTTAATGGACCTAATGCCTTATAGCTTGCATTTATCACACATGGAAGTATGCCAAGTTACTTTATAAGGGGTGAGATGGTCCATAAAAACCAGAATAATCCAAGACTACAATCCTGATGTTACTACAATTCTAGGGATCTCAACAAGCAGCACAAACTCAGAACAATGCAGTGTGTGAAAGCCAATGGCACATTTTAACAGGCTTCTCCCCATGAACTTGGGGGTAATGACACCATAACTCTCACAAGCCTTTATTTGTGCACAACAAAAGAAGCCACACAAAAGGAAGTATACTTTATGCTTCTTATTCTTTGCTTTCCCTACAGCCTATATTGTGTTGTAAACACTGTTAAATTCAACTGCACAGCAAAGGCCAAATTCTAACACAGAGTGGGACAACCAACAGTACCCTTGTCAATTGAAGGGTGAGGGTTCACATGATTTGAGTGCTCCTGTATTAAAAAGTCATTCCCCAAAAGCTAACATCTCAAGGATACCAACCAATCATATATGCATGCAGGATATTTTTATAATTAGTTGACCTGTCCAATTGTGTGACCTCTTGCATCTCCAATGCTGACAATTTGAAGTATAATACAGCCCAAGTATAAGTTTTATCACCTCCATAAAAACTCATATAATAGTAAAGGTTATTCATGGGATAGAGCACTGTTTTCTCTGGATTCATAACCAAGGGTTTCTTAGCATGTTCATGTTAGCTTCTAAGAATTCCCCCCCCCCCATTTTTAGTGGAACAGGTACATGCTCTCAATAGAGCTTCCTTCACTCCAGAGGACATCTGGATGTTACATTAGCTCAGCTTACACTCTGAAGACACGGGGAAGAAAGCAACTGAAGGTGAGGGGAACAGGCTAAGGAAAAGCACATTTGAAATTTAAGGCACATGTGGCAAAGCGCCTGAGACTCCCTTTATTTAGTTTGCAGCCACAGATTCTTAAAAGTAGTCCCCATTTTACAAAAAGGCTTGCCTCTTCTTAGGCCACAATCCCTCTTGCATATTGAAAAAAACGCTAATGTGGAAATAACCCACTCTCCCAAAGCCACACTGCAAGAGCCAAGGACTGTAATCAGACTGACAAAAATCTCCCATGAAGACTGAAAACCAGCATTCTCTAAAGAGCACCCTCTCACTTGGGAAATTTAGCAAGATTGAACAATGGGGATTTTTCACCAGCTTATTCCCAGAAAGGTGGAGGACATCTCACTTGATCAGAAAATTACACCAGGGTGTTTGAAAAATCAGAAAAGGAAAGAGAGCAAGAAGCAAACAGAAAGCTTTTCTGCTTGGTCTTTGTTTGGCATAGGCAAAGCATACTTTGAGAAAGAACTAAGTAAGCCTGCAGGTCTGACAATTTGTGGAAGAGACACAACAGATGATTTAGCAAGAGGACTTCTTCCTGGCTTTATGGCCACTGGGCGTTGACCTGAAACTGGGAATCGCTGGTTACAGACTTCAGTGGCAAAAGACTTTTGAGTATCATCTCCTAAGAGGCTTGGGCCTCTTAGCCCTGCCAGCTACAAGACATTATAACTATACCTGCTGCAGAATGAAAGCAGGAAAACATATGCTGCTGAGACACAACTGATTTTTCACCAACTATTCAATCAGCAACCATTTATCAGTGATAAAAAAAAAATGGTTCCCCTACTGCAAGGGGAAAAAAAGGCCTTTGTTACAGACTCTGTCTGGGTTACAAATAGGATTTCAGGCCTAGAAGGGTTCTTACCCTGAACACAAGTGTCTTGGGGTTGGAACAGAAGACTTTGGCAGGATGCCCTATTAGCCTACACAAAATAAATTTATAGCACAGACCAACAAGAAGGAGAATGAAAAAGTCCTTCTGTTTTGGGGGTTGAAGAACAGAAAGTTCTCTCAATCTGGTTTTTGGAGCAAGCCATTTCTAGGACCAAGCGCAACCCCCTGCCCAGATTCTTAATGGAAAGATAAACACCGAACGGAATAAGCAGCTTGGCATTTACAGAGCCACTAAGGGCACCATTTGAGACTTTATTTGCTGCCAAAGGAGGGATTCGGATGCAGCTTGGGGTCTTGGATTCGTGCTTGCTGGACTGTCCCCAGAAAAAGCAGTGTTAAGAATCAGTTCCAAAACTATTTCACCTACTTGTGGATCACTTCAAAAAGCCACGCTGGGGGGTGCTAATTAGGAAATCAGAACCTGTTCAGGATAATATCACCTCCTGGCAATTTTGCTATAGGATAAGAAAGCCTTCAACAACCCTGAAACCCATCTAGTGCAGCCTTCTAAAGAACATGGCCATGCTGGACCAGTGGACTTCATCCACAGAGCAGTGGAACAAGAGAGACCCTGGTGCCGCACAATTTGAGATTAGTCGGGCCAGAATGCAGCCCTGTATCGTGGGTCTTGATCAGTCTGACCTGTGTCTGCAAATAGATTGCCAAGTACCTAGGAAGCCACAATTACATGGCTGGTAGATTGCATTAAGCTTATTTTATTTATTTATTTATTTATTTATCATATTTATATAGCCGTCCATCTCACACAAGGTGACTTTGGGCGGCGTACAAGCTTAGCAAATCAGCAGCTATGCAGGCCCGTTCTGGACCATGAGCTGAAAACCAGAATCAAGTTATGTTTCTTTACCCATTTCCCCTACAAACTGCATGTTATTGTAAAAGAAACTTCCAGACAGATGACAAGCACTTCTCCTCCAGGAATAGCTGCATTTAATGTAAGGGCAAAAGCAGCATCTCACCTGACATTTGTCCAATGACTATCCCTACCAATATCTGCAGGGCGGGAAGGTGGACATTGGGTCTAGATGTGCTCTACAGATCTTGAAATAAGCACCAACTGACGTATCTTTAGTTAATGTTTAATGCTCCAAGTTTTCCATGCCAAGGCTTTAATCTGTAGTGTGGGTATTTCTTTTTTTTAAAAAAAAAAATTCAAAATTAGCACCTTTATTTTTGAAGGGATAGGCTGCAACTGACATATATGCTACTGGTGAAATCCAGTTATTGGATACTATGCTCATGAATGCAAATAATTCAATATGCAGAGATGATCTGGCTCATCTACATACTGTCCAAAAAAATGACATCAGCCTACTGAACTTTATGCCCTCAGAAGAGTTAGGACTGTAGCTCATGGACTTCCAGTCAGCCCAGTGACTTAAAATCTAGGGAGTTGCAGTCCCAAGACTTCTAGAAGGCATCAGGTTGGGCTATATCAAGACCAATTTGCCAATACCAAAAGAGGGAACGAGTCCTTTTTCAATTCTCCAATTTGTTTTTTCCTACATGTTGGACTTAACCTGTAGCATATGTACAATTGTAAGGGATAGTAGAGTTTCTCACGTGGGAAGGTTTCTCTTGATCCAAAAATAAAATTGAGCATGCTTCATCTTATTGAAGTGGAGGCAGAGTCAATCAGGGGAACACTGCAACTTCTTTAGCATGATTCGCTGTTGCTTTCTCCATCGGCATGAAGATCAATAAGACAGTGCATCGGACTGCTAAGAAAGATGAAGTCAGAAGCCTGAGCTGCGATGCTTTTTCAGGTTGTCTTTTCAGAACAGGTAGGGTGTTTTTCTTTCTGGCCTAATGCTTCCCACATCCTGGGAGACAGAGACCGCACATCGAGTAGCCAGATACCAGTTCAACTGATTCAAACAGGGTTGTGCTGCCCTTCTGGCCGTTCCTGACTTCACAAATCTTCCCCTGCTTCCAGCCAGCTTTCATCTCTTAATTCCTCTGCCTGCCCTTCGGAAAGTTTAGTAGGAGCCCCAGCGTGGTCCATAAACATGTTGGGAATATCTTTGCCAAAGTAGATTTTGCTGTTGGAGGCAATCGCTTTGTATTTCATCAACTGCAAGTATTCTGGGGTCAATTTTAGCTGCAAGGAGAGAGGAGGAGAGCAACCCACAGTCCGGTATGAAAAAGTATTTTCAAGATTTCCACTCAGTCTTTGGATCAAGTTATCAACAGAGTGGCTTATAACACTTTGAACATACAAAAATACTCCCCCCAAAAAAAATCATAAACAGCAGTTCTATGCCAGATGAAATTAAAATGGGGCTGGTTAGTTGGTGGTTCAGCCACTGCCTTACCATGTTGTATCAACCAGGATATTGCATTAAACTGTAATATAATTAGTTTGAATATAGCACAATATCTGTACATCGGAAACACAGCTGTTAATCTACATTTAGGATTCAGCATGTTGTGTGAAGCAGCTATAGTATCTCAGGGCTGGGGCTACTAACTACGACGTTGGGAAGTCATAGTATTTTAAAAGCTCCTTGCTCTCAATGGCCAGCTCACACCATCAGCAAAGAAAACACTGGCACCCGGCACCAGCTGTCACAACTCAAAATGATGAGGCCTATTCTGGGAATAACAATGGGATAACAATCCCATCTAATTTTTGAGAGTGCCACAAAGATAAACACTGACATAAAAGAATAATGAGGTTATTCCAAACTGGGGGCAACCTGTATTCTAAATTTTCCCCACCCTACTAACAATATAAATATTAAGGTACAATTAGAGCTGTTTAAAAAAAAAAAAAAACATATGGACGTTAACTAAACCTGAATATGTGTGCATTGGAATAAGATTGGTTTAGAAACCAAAAACAATCCACCTATTTTTAAATGACATCTCGTGTAGAAGAATAGCAAGAGAAACATCTACCTCTGTGACCGGGAGGAAGAGGAAAGCATAGAATGTTTGCCAGCCATAGACTGGTCTATAAATAAGTAACTAAAGAAGTCAATGGTTACCAAGTAATCAAGGATGGCTTTTAAAATCAATCAAGATTTTTGGAGTCATACAGATTCCATCAAGAGTCTGAAGATGTAGCAGTATCTTCAACAAGTGCATAAGCTCAGTGACAATAAAAACCAAAACATCAATGCACGGGAAAAGGAATCCTGTCAAATAAGAACAACCCTAAGCTTTTGCATTTGTAGCATAAATAAGCTGAGCTCCAGGGCTACTGAAGCACAGCTGAATTCTCTTACCTTGTTGGCTTCTGCTATCTTCAGGGCCGTGTAACATTCAGCATCTGCTTTTGCTTTTTCTCTGGCAAGGAACGCGGCATCTGCAAAAAGAGGGGAGGGGAATGAATAAAACTTCCAAACACAGAGAAGCCTCAAGAGGTCCTGCAAATTTAAAAATAAAAATAAAAGGAGGAGGAAGAGGAGGAGGAGGCATTTTCTAGAACAAGAAATGCTGATTTCTATCTTCAGAATTGGTCAAATAGCTTCATGGTTTCCATTTGGATTCATTTTCTCTTTAGCAGAATGTTGATCAGAATAATAATTTAAAAAAGAGATTAATGGGCGATCACTAAGAGGAGAATCTGAAGGAGGAAATGAAGCACAGCAGAGGAGTGTTCCTTAATCTGATGTCCTGCAGACATTCTGGACATCAGCACAGCTGGTAGAAATTGCATAGCCCCAATACATATGAAGGAAACCAGGTTAGGGAAAGCTAGAATAGGCACCGTCTGGGCATGGCCAAAATCTCTTCCATTCAGCTTATTATTTCTTTTTTTAATAATATTTTATTGAAATTTTAAAGTTACAAATTTTAAAGTTAGAAATGAAAAAGAAAATTGGAAATACAAAATATAAAA